CGAAACAGTTTGTCACAGCCCCTCATTTGTTGTCCTCTTCTCCCTCTCTGCCTACGGTTTACCGGGCAGTTCTATTTGACGATATATATATATACTGTGTACTGATCCGGGCCGCCCGGCCGACCAGCGCCTGCCTGGGGGAGGTTCCGGGCGGGCAGCCCGGTTGGGGGCCGGGCCCCAAGCACACCTTGCTGGCGGGGGTTTCCGACCCCGAATCGGCCAGATTATGTCTCCCAAGGGCCTACCGGGTCCGACCACGCCCAGAAAACGGCGCGTCGGGCCCGTGAGGCCTGTTTTTTTTTTTGAATTTGTGACGGACCTCCGGCCGTCGATCATGGATGATCGACGGCCAGAGGGCCGTTTGTTTTTTGGAGGGAAAACCCAAGCCCCGTTTGAACAACGACGGGCTTTGGCGGCCTGCATTGGCTGTCGAAATGGGGCCTCCCTCCAGCCGCCTGCGTTCGTCCTCGACTCGCCCTCGCTCCTCACGCTGCCCGTTGTCGCCATCGCCTGGGAGCTGCGCTCGCCCGTCGTCGTGGAGTCGGTCGTTGCCCGTTGTCGTGGAGTCACCCGTCGCCCGTCGCCAGCGTCGTGGAGTCGACCGTCGCTTGTCCCCCTCTCATGTTCTTCTTCTTCTTCTTCTTCTTCTTCTTCTTCTTCTCTTCTCCTCCTCTTCCGACTATCTTTTTTTTCTTCTTTTTTTTTGTTCCATTCGTCAGCGATAGGTCGCGAGATAAACGAAAGGTAAGAAAAAAAAAAAAAAAAACTGCTCCGCTCTTCTTCTCTTCTTTTTCTTCTTCTTCTTCTTCTTCTTCTTCTTCTTCTTCTTCTTCTTCTTCTTCTTCTTCTTCTTCTTCTTCCTCCTCCTCCTCCTCCTCCCCCCCTAAAGGCATACCGCGCCGCCATTCCCCTCCACCCCAGTATGTACTTGGTATCACACATGCAGCAAACAGCAGGCAACATAAATGCAGAGTCCCCAACACCCAGAAACCCCCCCCCC